TGATGGCATTAAGAGGTAGTCTTGGGAGGCGATCAGGTTCTCATGAATGGGATTAGTGACCTAATAAAAGAGGCCTGAGGGAGCTTGTTTGCCTCTTCCACTATGTGGACATGGAGAGAAGGAGCTATCTACAAACCAGGAAATAGACCCTCACTAGACACCTAATCCCCTGATGATTTGATTTTGGACTTTCTCAGCCATGAGAACTGTGAGACACACCTTCCTGTTGTTTATAAGCCACCCAGTTTATGGTGTTTTGTTACAGCAAGGTGAACAGACTGAGAGAAGCTGCCACACTGCCTCCAGTAATACTCTCTAAAATTAAGAAAATCTTGCTATTACATTGTTTTTGGATTCTTCACAAGCTTGCTTATACTCCATCAAATACACTGTTGCCCATTAAGATAACTCTTAAGATCGTGATGCCTAGACTTAAACATATGTAAATGCCAGGTGTAGTTTTACTCTCAGTTATTGTTTTTCTACCATCACATCCTTAGCTTTGATCTGTAAGAGGAAAGGTTTGACTGAAATAATTTCTAAGGTTCTTTCCAGTGTTGAAAAGCAATTGTATTTGGTGTTTGTGCCTGTGCATGTTACAGTCATGCCCCTGTATTGGCTTCTTGAACTTGCAGTAGATGCAGACTCGGAGGTCACTTTTCATGTAAACTGCTGCTAAACTGCGTCATAAGCAACTGCAAGTCTTTACATTTATCCTTATTACATCCTCTCTTGTTTGCTTCTCTTTCTTGCTGAAACCTATGTGGATAATTTGGAATGTTTATTCCATATTTGTTTGGTTAGCTCCCTAAGCTCTGTATAACTATATATTTTATTAGCATAATTCCTACATGTTCAATTTATTGATAAAATAAAAATTTGATGGAAAAAAGCTAAAAGAGAATCTTGCTCCTTACTTTCTCTTGTTATGCATTGTTTCATTCATCAATGATCTTTGAATATGTCTGTTTTTATCAACCATCTAATCGATACTATTGTCCAGCCCACATTTCTCTATCTTGTCGAAAAAGATCATGAATGAGCTGTCAGATACCTTGCCAAAATATAATATACTTATGTCCACTATTAACACAACGCTGAGATATTAGCAATGCTGAAAAAGTGTTTTGTTTGACCTGACTTACTTGAGTTCAGTTGTGTATAGTGTCTTTTCTGTTTCTTTAGAAACCCCTGACTCATGCAGGAAGGTAACTTCTCACCCTATGATCTTCACCTGTGGCATGTCTCTGCTATTTTGCTACTCATTCCCTTTGGTATTGTACAGGTTCTCATGGGCCAAGGACCTGTGGAACTATCCGTGACTTCTGGCAAGATCAGGAACATAGCAGGTGCTTTATAAATAGTCGAAGGGATGTTGAATGTAATTTAAAGGGGAGCTAAGCTTCTCTTGCACTGTTGATACTTCTTCCAGTAAGATCTGTTGCAACCATGCAAAACTTCTGTTTCCTTTGCAGTGTGCACATGTGTTCTTCCTGTGGTGGAGCAACTATAGCTGAAGCTGAGGGAAACACTATAGCTGTTGTTTGGGATGGTGCTCTTACCCTCTTTAGGCTCGGTTCCTCAACATTTTATGGCTTAAGTCCCTGGGTTTGGCACAGAGAAGAAGTCATTGTTTTTGGATTTTAGGGATTCCTGAAGTTTTTAAAGCCCCCTTTGAACACTTCTGCTCACCCCTACCCAGGCTTTACCTCCTAGATGTTGCCAATAGCTTAACTTTTAGTTACAGAGATAAAACCATGCCAGTGTCCCTTGAGTTGCAAAGTCTAGGTTGAGAAATAAGCCCTGAAATTAAGAGTTCCCAGTTGTCTAGATTTTGACTAAAATTTGCAACGAGAGAGTAAATTTGTGTTAGGTGGGACTGACTCCTGGGAAGAAATGGGGAATTGCTGAGGAAGTGCCATTTACCCTGTCCATTTTAGTTACTATTAAAGAGACATCATCTAAGAGAGAGTAATAAAATGAATTGAAGAATGAGGTAAGAAACTCAACAAGGAACTCTGAATTGTAGAAGTGCAATGGCAACGGGGGAATGGAGGATGGGAGCAGAAACCTACATGCATGGTGTATCCATTATGTTCCAGACATTGTGAATGAAATGCTTTGTTTCATCTCATTTAATCTCACAAGAGTCCAATGAGGTAGGTGTTTTTGTTTCATTTTGCTCCAGCATCTGCTCCATTCTGAAGTTTGGAATATTTAAATAACTATGGCCAATAACTTTGATTCTAAATAAAACCAGGAGAAGGATATAGGTTCATCAAACTCAAAAGTATATGATTTTCCTATCTATATTTTCTGCAGGAAAAGTGTTTTTAAAAAGTAAATTATATGAAGTATTGTAAATTTAAAGTTTAGCGTGTTTTGAGGCAATTTTCTTACTGTGAAATATTATGCATATTTATTTAGTAACTGGAAAGCAAATTGGGGAAATGTTCCCCCCCCAATTATATCAAATAAATGATCTTACAATTACATAAGAAGTCAACCATTACAGTCTAGCCAGTGGCTTGGCTTCTTGTCCAAACCTCACAATAAAATATGCAGACTTTCTGGAACCACATATTAAAATCTCTGCAGTTGAATCAGCCCCTCTTTCTAAGTAACCTAAACTCAATGCTATTCAGCATATTAGAAAACTCCAGGGATGAGATCTTTAAAACCCAGTGTCAAAAGGTGAATACCTGATGATCATCACCTTAGCTTCACTCATGAAAACTGGCTTTGTCCTAATTTATTTTCAGGCATATGGGTCTGTCCTGCAGTGAGGTGCCCTGTTTTAGAGCCCTAGAAAAAGATTTCAACTACAACTTTGACATAAGTATAAAATAATAGAATGATGCTCTTGTGTAAATTGGCTTTGAAGAAAATTTCCAAACAATTGTGCCAAAAATGGTGAGTGATTCCAGCATCCCTCTCAAGGTGATTATTTTGAATGACAGCCTTCATTTGGCTGTTAACTGGAGTTGATATGGCTGCTGAAGAGTTTAAAGAGCCTGGAATGTGAAGTCAGGAAGCATGCATGTGCATCCCAGCACCGCATCCCAGCTACCTAAGAGGAGCTGTAAGTCACATAACCTTTTTGAGTTTCTTTCTTCATTTGTAACACAGGTTGGGTAACGCCTCATAAAACAGTAATTAATTAAGTGAACCTGACAATACTAAACACTCAAAATAGCAAAACACTAGAACATGACAAATTATGTATAGTTCATCTCTAAATTTAATATCATGATTTGAAACCAAGACTTTCAAATTCTTATAAAACATCAGTGTTGTTAATAATTAGCCTTGGTCAGAAATTCCAGAATCACTCGAGTGATGAGGGCCAGCTATTTTGTGTTCAGTTTGATATGCGAAGCCACCAGTAGAATGCACTTGTTCAATTTTATGAGCCCCAGAAGACTAGTGGATACTGCTCACTTTGGGAAAACTGGAACCTAAATCTCAGCAGTTTCCAGGGACACACTTTATCCTTGTCAAGAGTTAATGAGATCAGAATAAAACCAAATGAACATGCTAGGAACTTGGTGCTTTGCAAACCATAATGATATTTTAGACAGCCAGAAATAGAATCTTTTTTATTTTGTGTACAGGACTGAATTAGGGAAAGATTAGGACAATAGTGTGTCAGTTCTATCCATGGGCTCCAATAGAGATTCTTACCCAAGGTAGGAGTACACACGGACACAAGGAAGTGAATAGACATCAGAACCTACTTGAGGGTGGAGGTTGGGAGGAAGGTGAGGACCCAAAAACTACCTATCGGATATTATGCTTATTACCTGGGTGATGAAATAATCTGTGTAACAAACTCCTGCAACATGCAATTTACCTGTGTAACAAACTTGCACATGTACCTGTGAACCTAAAATAGGTTGGAAAGAAAAAAGAAGGCAGAAAGAAGAAATGAGAGCGAAGGACTTGACTCTTTCTTAACCCTAGTTCTTACAAAGTAGCTATTTTGAGTTTCTGGTTACCAGTACTGCAGAATATAAGCACATAGACTTTTGAGTAGCATTTCGGTGTCCCCCCGCCCCCCGCCCCCCGCCCCCCCACAGAGATAAATAGCTGTGTTATCTTGATCAAGTTACTTTATTTCTCTTTGCCTTGAGTTTCTCATCTGTAAAGGGGGAAAATAATATTACCTATGTCTTAATACATGTAAAGCACTCCTAGAGGAGAGGGGATTTAAAATGCAGTGTTTAAAAGCACAGATTCCAAGGCTAGACTGCCTGGGTTCAAATCCCAGCTCCATCACCTATTTGCTGTATGATCCTGGGAAAATCAGTTAACTTCACTGTGCCTCAGTTTCTCATCTAAAACTTGAGTAATAGCACCAACCTCATAAAGTTATTGTTAGGATTAAATGAGCTCATACGTGTATAGTTCTATGAACAGGGCTGGCTCATAGTAAGTACTCTATGCATGTTTGTAGTATTATTTTTTGTTTCCTTGATAAGCTCCAAACACCATTTTAAGGATATAGAAATACAAATTTCAACATTGTCAACTATTGTTTCTTTGTTTCTATAAAGCATAAAAATCATACTCTAGAGAGAATCCTACAATGTTGGGATATTTTTTTACCTTCTAGATCTAGTATTTGTTTTTTCTTCTGAGACAGAGTCTTGCTCTGTTGCCCAGACTAGACTGCAGTGGTGGGACCTTGGCTCACTACAACCTCTGCCTCCCAGGTCAAGCAATTCTCCTGCCTCAGTCTCCTCTCCTGCCCGAGTTAACTGGGATTTAGACCTCGTATTTTGGCAGAGTCCCTCATATACCATTTGTTCTCTTTTCTTCAGGTTAGATATTGGCACGTCTTTTACCAAATCTTTATTAAGATCATTTTGCCTCCTGATTTACTTAAGCTTAATGTTATTCACTTAATCTCTGTATTCAATTATTTTTTCATTCTGAATGCAAAAAGTCAATGATTTTTAAAGCCTACATAGAGAAAAGATTCACACATATTAGGAGGATGATAAATGGAATAAACATTTATTCAGGCCAATTTCTGATTCTGCCTCTCCTCACAGTGTTCATTTTGATGTTTCTGCCATTCATTTATTCATTCAATATTTATTGGGAAGAGTTATCAAGCACCATGATAAGTGGTGGAAAATAATGATTCTGACACCTGAATGGTGTTTTACAATGTACAGATCATTTTCACATATATTAAATCCATTCAATCTTCAGAGTCACTTCATTTCCCCACAGTTCTTCCTCCTGTTTTAACTTCGTATTTCTCTTCATGTTCCTCATTCCTTTCCTTAAGTCTTTGCTGTGCAGAATACAGTAGTCTCCCTTCATACCAAGGGTATATATTCTAAGACCCCCAGTGGGTTGCTGAAACCGTGGGTAGTACTGAACCTATTGCTGTCCATTGGAACATGTTTCTGTTCACATCTTTCACCCGCAAGTTTAATGCCTTTTCCATTTTAACTACACACTTATGCACTCTGGGCCATACATTTTGTGTTTTGAGGTGTGACAGCAAAACTCGCACAAATTTCTTTTTCTTTCATAATTTCACAGTGTCTACGTTCTTATCATAAATCTTAGCAACCTTGGCATGTGATTTTGTTTTTCTTATTAAATTGAGAACTTCTACCTTTTCACTTAAAGGAAACATTTTATGGCTTCTCTTTGGCATATCTAAATTGCCAGCATCACTACTCTTGTATTTTGTGGCCATTTCTTAAGTAAACTGAGTGTTACTTGAACACAGCACTGTGTCAGGGTGATACTAAGACAGTTGATCTGATAGCTGAGACGGCTGGGGAGTGTAGAAGTGTGGATACCCTGGACAAAGGGAGGATTCATGTTCAGGGCTAGACAAAACAGGACACTGGGGGATTTTATCACGCTACTCTGAATGGTGTACAATTTTGAATTTATGAATTAGTTATTTTTGGAACTTTCCATGTAATATTTTCAAACCAAAGCTGACCAAGGGTAACTGAAATCATGGTAATGGAAACTTTGGACAAGAGGAATTACTGTGGGGAGTGGGAGGGGAAGCTGGTTCGAAAAGAAGGCAGTAGGTGGGGAGAAGATGGAAATGAGATGAGAATATAGGTCAAGAGATGTCAGTATCCTCCACTTTAGGATCAAAGGACAGGTTACTTGCAGGCACACTGTCTCTTATTCAGGAAAGTACAAAGACAGACTTGAAAAGGAGTGATGACCATCAATGCATCCATTGTCAGAAACTGGGTTGAGACTAAACATGGGGCTAGTGGGTTTCCAAATCCTCCCCTAACCCCTTGCGATTAAGCATATTTAACACACTGGAGATGCTAAAGAGTTATGACTCTTTTCTCATAAGAAGTCCCCCAAGTCCCAGCATCAGTTTCCCAATGGTATTTCCTTAATTCTGTGATACCAACCAATAGGCAAGAAACAGAACACACAAAATTAACTAGAAAAACATTCCTTCTGTTTCAAATCACCTGTTTCATTCATTATTATGTCTCTCATGCACTACCTGGCTTCTATAAGGAAACACCAATGGCTTTTCTGCAGTAGACTAGCTGATGATAATATGTAGCTAGCAGTGCATAACACACAGTATCACTCACATTTGAGTTTGTACTGATCATCTCAAGAGTACTTTGAAGATTCACAGGATACAAGTAGATGACACAACACATAAACTTTTACTGTGAGCTCACTCATAACCCAGCCCCTTTAACTTGTTTGGCTATGTGCCTGAAATGCTCTTCCTCCAAAACTTCCCATGGCTGTCAATGTCACTTTCACAGAGATGCCTTCTGCAGTTATTCTATATAAAGTAGTATCCCACACTCAGTGCCTCTATCGCATCTTATAATTTTATTTTCTTTGTGGCATTTATCACCACCTGAAATAGGCTTACTTATCTTTATACTGTATTTATTTGTCTCCCTCACAGGATTGTAAGCTCCTAGAGGGCAGTGATTATTTTTTAACATGCAGCCTGGAACACAGTAGTAGGCCCTGAATAAACAGTGGTTGAATGCTTGGGTGAGCAACAGATATTTATCAAATGCCTGTAATATACCAACTCTGTTCTAGGCAGTGGGGGTGTAGCAATGAATCAAGCACAAAAACCTCTGAACTCTTGGAGTTTATATTCTAATGTAGGAAAACAGTCAACAAATAAGGCAGGGAAAGGGAAGCTGCAGTGAGGCTGTGCTGTATTAAGAAGTGGAATAAAGAAAAGTTCTTGCTGTGCAGACATAAAGAAGCCGAGAAGGGAGGGAACCGAACAAGGTGAGGAAGACAGGAGGGAGGAGAAATGAAAAAGGAAGTGCAGAGGCCCTGAGAAAACAGGAAAAGGGCTGTGTGGCTAAAGCCAGTGAGCTCCTGGGGGCAGGGCAGGAGAGGGGTCAGAGAGGTGCTGGTGGTACATCTCCAAACATGTAGAGTCTTGTAAGCCACTGAGGGAACTTTGGATTTTGCTTTTTCTGAGATAGGAACCCACTGACTGGCTCTGTGCAGAGTGACACACCTGCCTTGGATTATCAACAGGGTCCTTGTTTTTGTTCTGGTGATAAAAGACTGTAGGAGCAGAAGTAGAAGCAGTTAGGAGACCAATCCAATAATCCAGGCAAGAATTGATGGTGGCTTGGTCCAGGGTGGTGACAGGGAGATGGTGAAATACATTAATAGTCTGGAAAGATTGTTAACGTTGAGCCGTCAGGATTTGCTGATTCAATGAGCAATGTAATTATATAAAAATACGTGCAGAACTGATACAAAGAAGGCTTTTCTTGGATTTGTACGAAAGAGACTGGTTTTCAGGTCCGTGACACTAATATAACACCTAGTAGCACAACCACCTAGAAATCCTGCACTGGGTCTTGGGAGTTTTGTGTCATCTATTATTTATTCCAAAGAACAGAACAACAACAACAAAAAAGAGTGGTGAAATACATTCAGTATCAAAATCTGTACTTGCAATTAAGAGAACTGGTTTGGGGGTTGATCTCATTTCAGCACACTGACATGAGTGTGATAACTGTTTGGCAGACATAAGCATTTCAAAATGAAAATGGCATTTATCCGTGAGGAAATGGTGCAGCTCATTGGGTAGTTACACAGAAGGATAAACATTATCAAGAACAAAAATCTTGCCTGATTTATCCTGATGTGCAGGGTCTGTACTTCAAACTGATGTGATAACTCCGCAGCCCTCTGACCCTTTACTTATTGGGCGGCACTGAAAGCGCCTTTGAGATTATTCGCCTTTGCATTCCTCATTCCCTGGTGCCCTGCAAACAATAGCAAGTACCCAACAAACATTCATTGACCCAGTCATTTCTTGATACCCTCCTCTGCACTCTGTCTTTTTGCAGCATTCAGGAGCTCTTTTTATACCCAAATAAGTGATCAGACAATCACTCATAAATGTTATATTTCAGAACGTGCTTGGCGCAGTGCAGACCGTGTGTAGGGAGCCATCCAGAGACCCCACCCACCTGGGAAGCCTGGAAAAGCTTCCAAGGGGAGGAGGCGTCCTGTGGGCTGCAGTCCGAAGGGGTAAATGCAAATGTGCAGGCAGCAGGAGTTGAGAGAGGGGATCCAGACAAGGGCCTTCAGATATATAAATATCCCTCTTTGAGATTGACGGGAACCTGGAGAGGGCCGAAGAGTGACCAAGGCATGCCAGAGAGAAGGGGTTCCTGAACTTCTGGGAGGATAAACACACAGGGACCAAAGGTGGTTTTAAAAATTATGTTAGCTCTGCAACTGTTGTGAGTTTTCTAGTGCGATTCAACGAAGACTGAGTGGAACCCGGGGATTGAGGGTTCCGGGGTCTTACCCCTCCACTTCAGTCTGGCCTCGAACACCTTGCAAGAAGAGGGCATTGCAATTAAGAGCTGGTTTGGAGCTTCATCTCATTTTGTCTCTGCACCTAGAAAATAAACGATCATAAAGCCTCCTACTGCGGGACAATAAGGTGTGCTTTTTGTTTCTAGGTTTTCTTCTTTTTTTTCCCAAGCTGGCTGCAAGGCAACTTGAACAAAATCTGGCTGCGCTTCGACTGGGGCGGCCCTTTTGTCTCTCCAGGTTTTTCCGCGTCTCTCTACTTTCAGTGACTCGACGGCAGGCCGCAGCTGCACTGCAGGAAGCGGCCAGTTCAGCAGGCTGCGGGCCGGAGGCGGCCACGCATTTCCACTCCCCGGGCGGGAGGCGCCTGTAAGTTCATGCTGTCCTTCCAGAGTCCCCGGGTGCCGGCTGGGGACAGAGGGGAGGGGCGCAGTGACTGTCCCTCTAAGGAGCTGTCTTCCGAAGCAGCCTAATCCCGGGCGGGTCCTTTTGGAAGAGGTAGAAAGTTGGGCGGGACCACGGGGCGGGACTGGTAGGTCGGGGGAGGGTGGGAGTCCGGGCACCCCCAGCGCTCACAAGCCGGGGTGGAGCCAGCAGCCTCGCGTGGCGTCCGCGTTTAAAATGCAAATCGAGTCCCCGCTCCCCCCCACCCCACACGCCCGGCGAGCTAGGCTCCGCCACTCCGCCGCCGCCCACGCCTCCTGCGCGCCACGGCGCCCGAGCGGGCGGCTCTACTTAAGCAGCGCGCGGGCCGTGACCCGGCACTCGCCTGTAGCGCGCGGGCAAGGCGGGCGGAGCACTTTGGAGCTCACGGGGCGCACAGCTGCAGGCTAGCACTGCTCCGCTCCTCGCGGCTTTCGGAGGTGGTGGCGACGGCGGCAAGGCGCAGGGCTGAGCGAGAGTCCGGGCTCCAGGGCTCCGGGCCAGGTGCCTGCAGCTCCTGAGTGCGACGCGGCTCCCCGCCACTGTCCCGGCCCAGCCACCTCTGTCATGGCTCTGGCGGACAGCACACGTGGATTACCCAACGGGGGCGGCGGCGGTGGTGGTGGCGGGGGCGGCAGCGGCTCCTCGTCCTCCTCCGCGGAGCCGCCGCTCTTCCCCGACATCGTGGAGCTGAACGTGGGGGGCCAGGTGTACGTGACCCGGCGCTGCACGGTGGTGTCGGTGCCCGACTCCCTGCTCTGGCGCATGTTCACGCAGCAGCAGCCGCAGGAGCTGGCCCGGGACAGCAAAGGCCGCTTCTTTCTGGACCGAGACGGCTTCCTCTTCCGCTACATCCTGGATTACCTGCGGGATTTGCAGCTCGTGCTGCCCGACTACTTCCCCGAGCGCAGCCGGCTGCAGCGCGAGGCCGAGTACTTCGAGCTGCCGGAGCTCGTGCGCCGCCTTGGGGCGCCCCAGCAGCCCGGCCCGGGGCCACCGCCTCCGCTCTCGCGGCGCGGGGTGCTCAAGGAGGGCTCGCTGGGTGACGAGCTGCTGCCGCTCGGCTGCGCGGAGCCCGAGCAGCAGGAGGGCGCCTCTGCAGGGGCGCCGTCGCCCACGCTGGAGCTGGCTAGCCGCAGTCCGTCCGGGGGCGCGGCGGGCCCGCTGCTCACGCCGTCCCAGTCGCTGGACGGCAGCCGGCGCTCGGGCTACATCACCATCGGCTACCGCGGCTCCTACACCATCGGGCGGGACGCGCAGGCGGACGCCAAGTTCCGGCGAGTGGCGCGCATCACCGTGTGCGGCAAGACGTCGCTGGCCAAGGAGGTGTTTGGGGACACCCTGAATGAAAGCCGGGACCCTGACCGTCCCCCGGAGCGCTACACCTCGCGCTATTACCTCAAGTTCAACTTCCTGGAGCAGGCCTTCGACAAGCTGTCCGAGTCGGGTTTCCACATGGTGGCGTGCAGCTCCACGGGCACCTGCGCCTTTGCCAGCAGCACCGACCAGAGTGAGGACAAGATCTGGACCAGCTACACCGAGTATGTCTTCTGCAGGGAGTGAGCGCCCCAGACCCCCTCGCGACTCCAGCGCCCACTCCCCTTCATGCCCGAGAGATGATCACAGATCCTCTTGTCCCCTCCTTCTGTACCCTGGTTGCCCCCCTTCCAATTCCCCCCCTCCAGTAGTAGCTGGGTGAGACCTGACCGCCCACCCTCCTTCCACTTCAGAACTTGCAGCCGCAAATCCTCTCGGCTTCTTCGTTTTTTTTTTTTTTGGATGTCCTGAACCGAGAGAACCCGGAGAAACCCCTACCCCACCCCCACCTCCCACTCTTTGCTTCCTTCTACTCCCTGCCTCAAACCACCCCTCCCCCAGATGGTACCTCAGTCTGGATCTGGTGGGGCAGTGTGGCCAGAGAGTCATCAAGTACCTGGGAATGACTGAATTGTTCAGAACCTGATTGGACCGTGTCCAGTGTGTGGAAGATTCCTTGAAATCTTCTCAAGCCCTTATTGACTCCCTGGGGGTTTAAGAGATCAGGATTGGTTACATTGAGGTTAGTGTTTTACAAGGTCATTACACAGTCTTTTTGGCCTCTTTCGAAGGTAGAGTTTTAGAAGGCTGGATGGAAGATTCTGAACCTGAAATTAGGACCCCGCGGAGGCAGTTCAGTAACTGTAAATGAATGAAGTTTTGAGAAGTTACACGTAAAGTAAAAGAATCTAGTGCTGGCACAGTAAAGGATCCTTTCTCGTACAGAATAAAAGGTCTCCGCCTGTGGCTTAAACTTACAGAAAGTGATCCTCCTGCCTGCAGAGGCGCCCTTTTCAAGCTACTGCTTGCCAGAACCCCTTGATTCCACTGGCTGACATGGCAGCAGCTAATGGCAGGAGGGAGAAAGGATGCCACTGATTAAGAGTGCAAGGCTGCTCAGGTCTCCAAGCTCTGTAGGAGGTCACCTGACAAGTGCCCAGTGTAGGGAGCTGGGCAGTAAGTGCACGTCGGTCGTGGTGATTAAGAAAGCCTGTATTCTTGCAGTGAATGCCAGTAGGACCTTCCTTTAGCTATAAGACTTGGTGGGTGGGGTGGGGTGGGGAGGGAGGAAAGGGTAGGAAGGGTGGGACGGGAGAAGCAGACATACTCATTTATGATTTGAAAGTTGGAAGTTTGTACCATCTGTTTGAGTACATGCACATTTTAAAAATATCATATAGTAAATGCAAACACACCAAGCATTTTATAAAGATTAATAACAGACCTACTCTTAACTGGCAGTTTATCGAACTTACTGTTTTGAGTCCTAAACTTAGAGTTGTTAATGCTTATGTATAATCTAACCAAAGACTTACCCAGTAGGGTTTTAGTTTTTGAACTTTTATTTTCTTGTTGATTATAAATCTTGATTTTAAAATGTTTACTTAAGCAAAAGAAGTTTCATTTTGGTTACTTAGACCTAAGATCACTTATTAAAAGTCATTCTTTTCTCCAAGCCCAGCAAACATTGACTTCTGGGCAAACCTGAAAACCCGAAAATGCCACTTTCATGCAGTTTGTTTGAAGTTAAGCGGAATCTTTTCAAATGACAGAGCTGCAGAGAACTCAGCACCTAGGGCTGCCAATCTGTAGATAGCTGTAAAATGGAATATTTTAAAATGAAGGCAAATAAGTACTTAAAAGTGAGCTGAGCAATAAAATGGCGTTTTAGGTCAATGCAACAGAAACAGGAGGAGACCTGGTTGCCTTATGCCTTTACTCTTACATGGAATAAATTCCCAATGCATATCCTATGTACACCATAAGTGAAGGGAAATAAACCTCGTCATGCTTCATGCTGTGAGGTGTCCTTTGGATATTCTGTGATGACAGAGAAGCCTATTTTGTTTTGTTTTCAGCATCTTTCTCTACTGTACATTTTTAAGGATTTTGTAAGAGCTGTTTTCAGTGTTGAAATTAGTGCTATTTTTCCTTGTTTTTAAAAATGAATCTCGTACTGTATCTGACTATGTCCATAAACGTTACAAATTGGAACAGTTTTATTCCTAGACTCATGTGATCCAAGCTGTATATACCATATATAAACATTTTACACAAATCATTTAGTTTTTTAATTCATTTACTAATCTATAAAATTTCTTATATTTACCCCAGTAACTTGTATCAGCTGGTATATATACTAAAGCAACATGTTTTTGATGAGTTTCTTATATCCATATCTATGGAGAAATTGGGTTAGGAAAAGATGCAATTGTAAAACTGAGTTTGCTCTTTACGTTTTTTCTTGAGTATTAGTTGTATTACTAATCATATGTTGATTAACTGTCTACTTAAAATCAAGGTACCTGTATTTTTAATCCACTAATTCTTGTTAGTTGGGAAATAGAAAGATTTTAAGTCTTTTATTAGACTAACATTTTTTGAGAAGTAAAGTTGACTTTATTTACAAAGCCTATAGTTTTAGGGGAAATGGAAGCAGGAATATAGGAAGTTGTGTTTGGTTATATGTTGAGTTTGGTCTCAGACTAAGTCATGCATCAGAATTTATCTGTTTGAAGCCTGAAATAATTTAGGACTTTTTCACTGACCAAAAGTGAATGTTACAGAGATACCTCTACCCCGTATGGCATTTTGTTAGATTGTTCAACAGGAAGCACATGATTGAGAACATCTTGGGACAGATCAAAACCACTGACAGTTGGCAAGACTCGGCGATTCTGATTTCCCTTCTCAAATCTGCTCAACTCCAAGAGTCTTGAGAAACTGCTAAAATTTTGTCTCTGTCACTCAAGTCTTGCGAATGTTATCTTGTAGAGCTTTGAGTTGAACTATTCCACTGTCTTGTACATAGGCATCTTATTCACTGCACCCTCTCACACCCAGCACTCCCTACGTTATTTGAAAGACTGAAAATTTAATGGTTAGGAACAGTAAATCTACTTTTTTACAGGGATGATTGTCCCCTCTAAAGTTAAAGTCAATACAAGAAAACTGTCTATTTTTAGCCGAAAGTAAAGGTTGTGAAGAAAATTCATTTTACATTGGGTAGAAAGTATAATCAAGTAAAATAACTTGACATGAGCACCTTTATTTATTTATTAAAAAAATTTTTTTTTGAGATGGAGTTTTGCTCTTGTTACCCAGGCTGGAGTACACCTTTAGATTCCCTTCACCTCCATGGGCTTTGGGCCACAGAATGAACCTTTGAGTCCTGTAAAGTGGATTATAATCCCCTATAAACTTGAATGGAGGTATTGTGGGTTCATTTGCGTAAGCCCTACAAAGCTACTATTTAAATAACCTGGAGTATGTCATAAATTATTCAGATAATTATCACTGATGAATCTGACTCAGAGGCATGCATTTACATATGTTGCCCTAATTACTATTTGATGGTCATAGATACAAGTGAATGACATTAGACTTTTAGTAACAAAAATTTTTGAAAATCAGTAGACAATGGTGGTTAAAGAAAAAAAAACAGGTACCATGTTCTATGTGTTTGCACTAAGTAATTGACATGCTTGTTTTTTAATACATGTGGACAATGAACAGTATTCATTCTAATTTTTCAAATGATATGCTATAGAAAATATTCCTTGAAGATGTGAGATTTGAAGTTTTTTTCCCTTTCAATGTTGTTTTTATTGTATTTCTTATTTTTTTGATTGATAAACCAGTGATAAATTATAATACTAGACAAAATTGTCTTCTCTTTCAAACCAGAGCCATATATATGTGTGTGTGTATATGGGGCTTGCTGCTTCTCTGAGGAAATGCATAATCTGTGAATACTCAGACAAAATGAACAATTGGCAGTGTTCATAATATATTCCAATTTTTATTGGAATTTTCCATGGAAAGTTATTATTTCAGTAAAGCCATGTAAGATGAAACTTTGATAACTTGTTACTCTTCAAGTTAGGGGAAATTCTGATCCAATATTCAAATAATTTGTGTACTCCCACATGTAAAATGCTAAACGACAATGCAGACATTAAGAAAAGTATTGACTGCAGGAGTTGAATTTTGTGAGAATTTCTTTTATAGTATAAATCACAATACTCAATTTAGTTTTTAAAATAGTAAACTGAATATTTTTGTGGTAAACATATCAGAGTCAGTTCTTTGTTTGGAATTTTTTCCTGTTTTTCCTTACTACTATAAGTCATTTAAAAACGGAATTAATTTTCTTAGTTGGCCTAAGTCTGTCTCTTGAGAAAGAAGTAAAATACTTTTATTTTCAGTATCCGTAGCACCTCATAGGTTTTTGTGTACCCTGAAACAAGTTATGTTGAAATTAGCTTTTCTTTGTCATAGTTTTGGACAATAAAAGCATTAACACTTGATTCTCAACTGGGGCCCTTAAAACTTGGATGGAAGAAATTCAACAGAATATCTATATTAGAGTATAGTCATGTGTGGTAGGAAGATGGACTAGTTGATCAAGATTTGTTGTCACTTACATATTTTGTGATTTTTTTTCCAAACCAGTTTTTAAAAATTCTAAATGTGTTTTGAAGTATGTGTACATTAATTGTAATGTAAACTATTATACAACTGTTTTTGACTTTATAGGCAGGTAAATTTTTCTATTGCTGTTGAATACAAATGACCATTTATGACCAGGCAAACAGTGTTAAGTGACCACTCAAACAGCGTAAGTAGCCATTTAGTGCAAAGTATTAAAACATCCATCATGGATGTTAACTTTGAAGATGTAAATTATATATTGTTTAAATTTTTCCAGGCATCTGAAAACCTTATCTGCTAGACAATGTAAGATTCACACAGAGTTATCTGGGATTCTGAAATTTTAAGTAGTACGTATCATTAAGCCATTTTCTCTAAATGTAAGAAGAGAAGAAAAAAGTTGTTATAAGATTATCAGATTTTTCTGACACAGAAATGTAAGAAAAAAATTCCTTTATATTGAAAAAAGATGAAGTCTTTTCAGACATGCCCAAACTTTGAGACTTTCTTCAGCCATCTAATGCTGTAAAGATTTTTATTCACAACCAGTTGTATAACAGAAATACTAGATACTGTTTTCCTTCCTGTGTGTGAAGTAATGACTCATTGATTATGTGACTTGTTATGTATTCAATTAAACACTAAAGAATAAAATATTCACTCCTTTAATTATTCCTCTTGGCTTCTTGGCATGGATTGGCTTCAACACTGGTCTAATTTCATTTATGGGGTTCCCTAAATGCTGGCAACACTTCCCAAATTGTTGTGGGACTACTGATGAGCATTATACCCTCAGAAGAATTTTTCACCAAGGAACTGGCCAGCACGACCAAGTGCAAACAGCTTCTTTCCCCAGAGTTCATTGTCAAGAATGCCCAGGCGGTTTGGTACTTCATGTGGAAGAAATGCTTTTCACAAACATTTTCTTCGACTTCTTTGCAGCATATGCCAATTGCTGTGTATAGGGACAAGGAAATAGAAGCTTTGAGATGTGCTTTAATTAAAAGTGTAGTTCATGAAGAGAAGGTTCTAAAAAATGTTGGGAAAGAAGCTGCATTTTGGATGTGGGGGCACCTTACTGCATCGTCTCTAGTGGTTGATGTTCCTCCTCTCTAAAGAAGGCACAGTGCTGCTAAGATTGAGAAATCACAGAAACTCAAGGTGTCTGGGTTATGGCACCGGAAGTCATGAGTAGGCTGGGTAGAGTGAGCCAGCCTTCACCCTTCCTCTTTCCTTTTTGCCTGTACTTCCTCTGGATAGCTTTTGTTTTAAAAGTGTGTGTGTGTGTGTTTGTGTGTGCACTTACGTGCGCGTTTGTAGACACTTTTTAAAAAATTTAATATAGATGGTGAAAAATATAAGCAATGGAAGAATGTATATAATAAGAAATAACTATGCCTCTTCTAGTAACTCTTAGTTTTTCCTAGCGGCCACATTTTTATCTCTTCCTTAGAAATCACACCTGTTCTGTGTCTTGCTTGCTTTTAACCACATCTCCTGAAGCTATTGCAATCCACGAACATGTAGCAAGAATTTACCTTATTTTGTTTGATAGCCGCACAATATTCTGCATGCTGTGCCCTCCTTGTCTAGATGTGCTGTCATTTATTTTGCCCATCCTTTATTGATGGTCATTTAAGTTTCCAAGTGTTGTTTTTTCTACTCCAAAGAGTGCTGTACCGAATATCTTGTTACATGTATGCAAATATATTTGAGTCCAGCTTTCTTGTATGAAATGATGCGAAGAAAGACATGACCAGGAGGTACTTTTTCTTTCTTGAGAAACTATGGAAACAGTGGGAGTCACTGGAAGCACTTTAGGAATTGGTGGGGGTGGTATGAAATCACTCGAGTCATTAGCTCCACAAGTGTGAAGTGTTATCTAGCTTTTATATTGGAAACAAGGCCCCTTCTCTTTGTTTTCTACCTCCTTTCAAAGTTTATTTTAGATTTTTTTTTAATGATTTATGACCAATACTTTGGTTTTAGGAATACATTATATCTAGAGGAGTTGTATTATATCCCATACTTCTTAAGGAGGCACCTCTGGGGGATTTGGAAAAGGGTGGGAAGCTATAGAAGAAATATGGGGCACCTTCTGAAATCTCAGTTTTACTGATTAAGGTGAGTACCTGTGGACAGGGGAATTAGATCCTTTCACTGGTAAGTGATTTATAAAAACCTGTTTCATTTTATGGAAAGATGGGGAAATTTTCATGAATTTAAAAGATAAAACCCTACATGTTAAAGATACTAGGAACTTGTAGACTCCTAGGAATGAGTTCATCCTCTTCCGCCATTTAGAGCTTGGTGGTGGTGATAGTGGTAGAGTTGAGAACCTCTGCGGGCATATACTGGGCTTGATTTTTCAGGGACAGCTGAGGGGAAATATCAGCCACCTAAGTTCTCTGCTTTACTATGCTCAGGTGAGAAGTTTCAGTGTCCCTTTGGGGTCCAAAGTCACCTTCTACACACTCACAGATCTCCTACGAGTAGCTGATGGGGTGAAGTAGAAAAGAGGTCATCAAGGCTGTTTTAGGCCATTAACTCTTAACTTGGCTGCTGCAACTTTCCCCCTTGTATAACAGCCATTGAGCATTCATTCATTCATCGATTCAAAATCTGTTAGTACTTACTGTGTGCCACACTGTGCCAATCTGATAGGGATACAGGGATGAGTAAAACACAGAAGTGCTGAGGATTAGTAAGAGAGCCAAATAAGGACATAATGCCTTGGAAATCAGGGCTAAGATAGTCTGAGCACGTGAGGGAGTCCGAAAGGGAGATACCTAAGACATGTCTTAGGCTTGCTAGAGGAGGAGGAGACACCAAAGCAAGGGCTTAAAAGTGAGGAAGAGAAAGAGGAGGGGGCCTGCTAAGTCCGGGTCAGCTTAGTGAGGAATAACCAGGAGACAGCAAGAACTAGAAACTACTCTGTGTTGCTGAAACCCGATGGCAAAAACAAAAATCCCTCTATGCCCACGCAAAAAAAAACCCAACCCAAACCCAAATCAACCAAACAAACGAAAGCATGATCAGAGAGGCAGTAAGAGACAGATAAGGGTGAGCCTCACATAACCCATTACAAGATTTGAACTTTGGTTCTCAGGGTTTACTGAAGAATTTTAAACAAGGTGTAAAGTAATCAGAGAATCATTCTGAGACTATTTGGGGGCTCTGCGAAGGATGGGTTTAATAGCACATTCAGGAGTTAGAAGCCAGTAAGGAGGCTGTTTATGGGAGTCCAGATGAGAGGGCACATGAAACCACGTGCAGACCTCCTGCTGCAATGGAGGTGATGGGGACTGGGTAAGGTCTTGCTCATCTTTCTTTTCCCTTCAAACCTCTCAGGTTATGCATGAGTGAGATTTGTTTGCAGTAATATTGGACATACTGTGTTTGAATGAGAAACTGTTTGGTTCTGTTAATCCCTATGTCTCATCATCAAGAGACCTCATCAATTATTTAGCGGGCACTGTATTGAGCACCTATTATTATGCATACAAAGTCCCCAAATGCCAAATCATTCTTTCAGCTTCAACAACCACTAATTGAGCCTCTAATATAGTTGAGACACAGACTTCTCCTTTACCATCACCAACAGAGAGCAAAATGGTCAACTGGCTAAGTACTTATATAAGTTAAAGTACTTCTATAACTACCAGACATGACAAAAAACTTAGCATCCTTGGGCTTTACACACATTTCATGGTTGAAATTTTATGAACACTATCTTTCCCTCACAATTCTGTTAAATACACTTAACAGCTACTAAGAATGATCTCTGTTTCACCCTCCCTCCTTCTTTTCAGATTGAAAAAGATGAAGCACAGGAATGAGAGATTCTAAAATTATTTGGAGTTCTCTTTTGTTAAAGTAACTGACAACATTTCCCCAATTATTTACCATTTATTTCTCAGTAATTCATTATCCTTCTCCATTCTACTTTCTCAGTGGCTGAGGGAGGAATAGAATCCAAAGTTAGAGCAAGCTCTCATTTCTGTATATAGAAAGAAAAGGGCAGTGGAAATATCTTCTTGCTCCGTCTTTCCTTTTTGGAAAGCAATGAATTAAAAAAAAAATCACAGTTTTTAAGCAAGAGGAATGCAAGAGAAATGAAGAGTTTAAGCTCATTGATGACCTGGGTTGCCTGCGTCTGTTATATACAGCAGCTCTAATTCTATTATATAGTAAGCCCTAAGCTCACCGTTGACATCTATTTGCCCATTTATGGTCTGGAAAAAGCATTTATTTTTCTATTTTGCCTCAAGGTCAGCATAGTAGATAACATGTAATAGAGCATCAATAAAGGTTTGTTGAATAAATTAATGAATGCTTATGTTAGTTCATTTTTTTTTTCACGCATAGGGAGAAAAAGAACTAACTTGAAATTTGCCAGTCTTTTTTTGAGATGGAGTTTTGCTCTTGTTGTTCAGGCTGGAGTGGAGTGCAATGGCACAATCTTGGCTCACCACAACCTCTGCCGCCTGAGTTCAAGCTATTATCCTGCTTCAGCCTCCTGAGTAGCTGGGATTACAGGCATGGGCCACCATGCCCAGCTAGTTTTGTATTTTTAGTAGAGAAGGGGTTTCTCCATGTTGGAGATCAGGCTGGTCTTGATCTCCTGACCTCAAGTGATCCACCCACCCTGGCCTCCCAAATTCTGGTATTACAGGTGTGAACCACTGCACTGGGCCTCAATCTTTGTTTTTTAAAATAACACTACCAAAGATCAATAATCCCCTTTTATACCTATGTATAAATATTTGAAAAATTATAGCTAATTTCATAAATAAATGTATAAAAGTGATTATCCTTTCATCTGACTTGAAAGTCAGAAAGATTAGGATGAGAACTAATTGATTTGGGTTACTTTTTATCTGACTAGTTATTACAAGGCAGCTGCTCCAAAGCCCCATGTGAATTTCTGGCTAAAGGAGAAAATGCTTGACGATGTTTCCATTTTATGATGAAAGTCAAGTTCACTGACAGCCATATTATAGACTTTCCTCTGGGGCCATTATTTTGTACAGATTTTTGAAAATCTTAACTGGAAAGTTTCAAAAGGTGCCTCTAAAAGTTGTAGGAGAGAAATTTGACCTCCCTGAAATGCTGGAGTATACTGTTTCAAATGTTCTGTTGGTGAGAGTTGTGGGTTTTAAAAGTGACAGTTGCAAGTACTTAAAAAAATAAATGATCTGTGCAACGATGCTCTGACCTTACAATAGTGAATATATTTTTTTCCTGCTCAGAACTCCATGTGTTCAAAGTATAAGTTCTCTTCATGAGGTAATGTCAGAAATGGAGCCGTTAGTCAAAATTTTGCCTGTGAGTTTTGGGAGTATTACTTTAAAAACATAAGTCCAGCAAAAACCAAAAAACAAGAGTGAAACTTTATTATATTGTTGTTGTATTTCTCCTTTGTAATATATACATAGTCTTCTTCTCCCAGTATCTAAGAAAAACTCTAAAAAAATTCATGTTATTATCATTTAGTTTAATTCTAGGTTTGAGTCAATTTGGGGATAAGTAGGCAAACAAATATTTGTGTGTTAGTGCTAACAGTTGAAAAGAGCTTTTGTGGGGGTTGAATTCTTTGACATTTGTTTTTAACCTCATTTTACTTTGTGGATCTAGACACAGTTGATAAATTTACCAGGAACTTCCCA